GCTCCCTCTGCCCCTCCTCTGCTCACACTCTTGCTCTCTCTCAAAAATAAACATTAATTTTTTTAAATGTATGCTAATTTTACAATTTAAAGTCATTTTTATGGACATAATGATCACGTGTCATTATTTACATAATCTTCAATTAAACTATATATTTACCAAATACCATGCCAACTGGATTGCCAAGTGGTTATATTCAACAGCTCTGGATAAACATAACAGTACTCTCCTCATATGCTGTTACCAGACTCCTGCCTGACACACAGCTAGCGCTCCATAAATGTTACTAATAGTTATTACTACTACATTTTCTATTTCAATGAATACTTTAATTGTTGTATCTCCAACCTACTGAATATTTGCATTAAAAAATTCTGTCCTTCATAACTGAAGTATCCAATTGTCTTCCCACTTATACTAATTTGAAATTGTACACTTTCAAAATATCTCACTGAATATTAGAGTACTAAAAAAATGAAAAAGGAATTAAAGATATAAATCACTGCCCACTGTGATCTCATAAGGTCCTGAATATTATAAACAGAGCTCCAAAAGACTATTTGATTGCAATCCCCTCTAATGCTAATAACTGTATAAAAACAAATTAAATGCCTTTTTATCTAACTTTAAAGTTAAATTCTTCCAATATTCACCAGAAGTCAAAATTCACACAAGATTAATATAGTATAAGTTAATATTAGGCTATATTTATACATCTCTATTGAAATTCCCATTTTAAATACACTGTCCAAATAAAATAGCTGGTATTAAGAGACAAAGTATTTCTCAAATACTATTTTATCTTATCTAAACCCTCTTGAAAAACTTATGGATTATTTTTTAAAGACGAACAATTCTTATTTATTGATTATACTAATATTAAATAATTTGGTCTAAAACTAGTCTTTTTAAAAATTTTTTATGTTTTATTTTCTATTTGAGAGAGAGACAGAGTGCAAGCAGGGAGGGGAGGGGCAGAGAGAGGGAAACCCAGAATCCAAAGCAGGCTCCAGGCTCTGACCTCTCAGCACAGACCCCACGTGGGCTGGAACTCATGAACCGCTAGATCATAACCTGAGCTGAAGTCAGATGTTAAACTGACTGAGCCACCCAGGTGCCCCCCCAACATTTTTTTTTTTTTGAGAGAGAAAGCACATAAGTGGGGAAGGAAGAGGGAGGAAGAGAGGGAGGGAGGGAGAAAGGAAGGGAGACAGGGAGAGAGAGAGGGAGAGAGAGGGAGAGAAGGAAAGAGGATCCGAAGCAGGCTCTATGCTGACAGCAAAGAGGCTGATGCAGGGCTTGAACTCTGGAGTCCTGAGATCATGACCTGGGCCAAAGCTGGACACTAAAATGACTGAGCCACCTGGGCATCAGGCACTAGATTTATAACTAGTCTTTAAATCAACCAGAAGTTCTTTAACACGAAGGCAATGTTTGACTGTTGGCTGTAATGGAGTGTCCATTCATAATTTTAAATATTTCTGTGGCTAGGACCAGGAAGAAACTGACAAATCAATCTGTTACAACAACTCCATTCTAGCTCAGTAATAATTAGTATAGCTGCATCTATATTTAAAGTTTCACAATCTGAATTCAGTCATACACTCTGAATGAGCATCAAACAAGCCTAAGACAATCATCAGAAATGAAAAGATTCTGAGTCTAGTAATATAAACAAGATGCTTGTTCAATTTAAACAAAGATACCACTAAATGAATGATAAAAGGTACATGACTAACCTCTAAAATTTAGAATTCATGACAGTAGGCACCATTACTGTGTATCAGCATTTTCTAGGCACATCAAGGTTTTCAAACGGATCCAGGACCACCCACACATGGTGGCCGGGCTTAATACCTTTCCCAAAGTCACAAAGCCAGTAGCAGTGTCAGCATCTGATTTCAGAATGCATCTTCTTCCAAGTATACCAAGTCACCTAACTAGCAAACATATAATAAGTATTAAACTCAATAGTTGCTTTATTCTTCTCAACTTATTTTACTTCATCATTGCTTTTCAAGGACAGAAATCCTTAGGAGCTACTGTCCTTTCAACATTTCTGCAGGAGCCATTAGAGCCTGCATCTATCCATTCCTTCCTTCCCAAGGATCCCAGATTTCTGATTTGAGAATTCTGTTTGGGGATCCTTGTTGTTCCAGTGAAGTTACTGTAGAATATAAGTCCAATCAGGGCACTGGTTCAAGGTAGCTACGTGACCAAGAGAACTGCAGACCTTCTGGAAAAGTTGGGACACTGATAGGACTGAAGGCAATATGCTGCCACCGGTGCAGGGGCAGCCATCTCTGGGTGAGAGAAACCTGGGCAACATCATCAAGCCACTGGAAAAAGTCTTACTTAAGAACAAAGGTTTTGCGTCACATCTGAAAAATCCAAACTGATAGATTTTTATAAGAGGGTTTCTCATTTCAATGTCTTTCACATACTGTTCCCTACTCAGGGAATGATCTTTCCCCCATGCTGATGCCTCCTATCTAATGGGCGGCTACTAGGTACCAGGCACCGAATGAGATGTTAGACATATTTTCTCTAATACTGAAAACTAATCTATATCCAAATATCCTCACTATTCTTGACAAAAAAATACAAACTCAAAGAGACTGAGTGACATTTTCAATACCACACAGCTAATAAATGGAGCCAATATTCAAGACCCAGTTTATCTAGCTCACAAGTACTCGTTCTTCCAACGTGAGGCAGCAGCCACATGGATCTTGTCTTTAAAGGTCTTTGTTCAGGAATCAAATCTCCTGTGAAGCTTTCTCTATCCATTTACATACTGCATGAATGGCTTTTAGAGAAAGGACATATTACAGTCATCACTACGCTTACAGTTAGAATACAAGCTCCTTAAAGATAGTAGGATCCAAGTAACACCAGTGCCTCCTCGCACAATGTACATGACACAGCCCAAGTGAGCAATAAACATATGTAGAATCCGCGGTGAATGGAGAACTAAAGTCCTACCCATTACAGGTCAAAGTCCTTAACAATGGTCATTAGACTGAGGTTTCCTTCTATACAGAATGTTTCTGAAATGTGGGGTTTTAGGAAGAAATCTGTAAATATCTGTTGACCTTAAACATTTGCTGCCGAAACTAAATGTTGCCCTGCTACACTTATGAAGGACGACCGAGAAATGTCAGAAATTCAGAATAGTAAATACATTTTTTTCCAAATCAGGTATTTCAAATGTACCAAAGGATCCTGTGTGTAGTAAAAGCAGAACATACGTATTATTATGCACATAACAGAACTCAAATACGTTTAAATCACTGGACTGTCGGCCTTCATTTTTAGAACCAAAGTTGCCCAATACCGGTCACTTAACTTTATCTGTAGGTGCAAAGCATGAACCAGACTGTCTCCTAGACCCCACCCAGTCCCCTGATTCTGTGGAGTAATAATTCAGCCCTATTACTACTCATCAACTTCTCAGCGTGCCTCCCAGACCACAATCTAAAAGTAATCTTTCAAACAAGTTCTCTCCTATCATACTATTTTGGCATACTTACCCCTGACATTTCTCTCACTTAATTACTTACATTACCATCTCCCCTGAAACGTACACACCAAAAGTACAGGGATTTTGCTGTATTCATCAACACACCCCAAGACTTCACATAGAACACAGTAGGCACCCAAAAAATGTTTGTTGAAGAATTAGCATTCATGGAAGACTAGTAATGCCTTCTTGCCCAACATGAAGGGGAAAAAAGCAAATTGTGCACTGCTAAAACACATCCTGCATTCTCTAATATATTATGTACTCTGACTCAGTATTAATCTTACAAAGGGTTTTTTTTTTGGGGGGGGGGAACTGCAGTGTCCAAATTACTTTATTTGAAGAAATGCTACAAATGAAGAACCCAAGTAGGTGTTTTAGTACGACAAAGGTTCTAAGACTATTTAGTGACTACCACCTCGCCAATAACTTACTTTAAACCCAAGATACTTGGTACCTAAAAGCAACTTGGGAGTTCCAAAATCATCTGCAAACTTTCCAAAGGAAATTTCACAGTAACAAAATCCTCGTCAGAATCAAGCTTAATGAAGCAAAGAAGAATACAAATCATCCCAATAATTCAAGGCGGCAGTGTCCCATTTTTCTGAAAAAATGCCGTCTTCCCATCTCCCATTTCTGTACACACCCAGACACTGACATCGATGGAGAAGTTTTACAGATACCAACGCGCGTACAATGACACAGCTTCTAGTCTAGGACCTTATTTCCGTTAAAACTTTCCCCAAACTCAAGACTCTCTTGACCACGAAACTAAAACCCCACAGCCTCACATCTGCTCCTCTGCCTCCCTCTCTCGCAATTAAGCCTCTCGAACTTTTCCCCTGGGGATTCAAATCTCTGCCATCAAGACGTTTTAATCCTGCCGCTCCTCCTAAGTGCCTGCTTTCTCCCAGTGACCTAGGTAGGTACTCTCGACCCGGGGGGTGGGGGTGGGGGGCGGGGGGGGAGCCCAGTCTACGCGCCCCAGCTCTTTCCCACCCTAGCTTCTCCCCCACCCCCTCTCCACCGGCGCCCGACAGGTGCCTCGCCGGGGGATCTCCGCGCCCCAGCCGCCGACAAGCGGGGCACACAAAAGACCCGCACCGCCCTCCCCAGCCTCCTCCGGCCTCTCTCCCCTCCAACCCCATCAGGTCAGCGCCCCGGAGAGCAGAGGCCCGAGGGAGACGGCGCCGGCTCCCCGGGGACCAGAGATGCTCGCCCCGAGCGCCCCCTCCCGACTTCACCTCCGCCCACACCCCACCCACGAAGGCTGCCCCGGGCCGGGACCCTCGGCCGGAGAAACCGAAAGCGCATCCCCAGCCGAGCAGCAGGGGCCCAGCGCATCCCGCCAGCCGGCCTCCGCCGCCCCTCCCCGCGAGCCCGCGCCCCAACTGCCGGCCCGAGCGGGCGCCCCCGCCGGCCTCCCGCGCCCCCGCTCCCCCCGCCAGCCCCGGGGAAGGGCCCACGCCCGCCCGGCGGCCCGGCACTCACAGGCTGCCGGAGCAGGAGGTACAGACGAAGGAGCCGACCGTCATGTTCACGTAGGTGGGGCCGCGCTGGTCGCAGTCGAAGCACTTTCGGTTGTGCGGGAGGCCGGTCATGTCCCGCAGCATCTTCAGGTGCTTCTCCTCCTGCTTCCGCTTCGCGCTGGCCGCCATGGCCGCGGCGCCGAGGGAGGAGGCCGGCAGGGCCGGGAGCGGGAGCGGGGCGGCGCTGCGCCGGGGGCCCGCGGTCCCACGGGCCGCCCTGGCCGCGGCCGCCGCCCTCCGTCAGCGCGCGCCGCCCGCGCCTGGCCTGGCCGCCGCGGCTCGACTGCGCTGGGCGCGGCGCGGACGCTGCGGAGCGCGGGCTGACGGGCCACACCAACCGGCCCGGCCGGGACAACCGCCGCCGCCGCCGCCGCCGCCGCCACCTTCCCGACTTCTCCTGAGGGGAAAAGAGGAGGAAGGGGGACGGCAAGAGGAGGCCCGCCCCGGGCGGCCGGAGGCCAAGTGGCGGCCGGCGCCCTCTGCTGGCCAGGAGGAGTTAGTTCCTGCGGCCGCGCTGAGGCCTGCAAGGGGGCTGGGGCAAAGGAGCATAGATTACACAGGTGCTGGTGGCGATGCACTGGGGTCATTAGAGCGCTTTATGTGCTGAGCGCATTGCCTGGGTTAACTTCCTCCCCTGCCCCAAACTCTCCAAGGGCTGCCCACTGCTTTGGGGAGAACTCCAACGAACTCACCCGGCTCTGAAAGGCTCTCCTTCGTCCACCCCAACCCAGCTCTCTCACCATCCTGGTTTCCTCGATGGCGCTGGCTTTCGGTTGGTACCCAGGCGCCGCAAGCTGCCTGCGGACCCAGGACCCTTGCCCTGCGCTCTCTCCATATTCAGGTTTCTGAACCTTGCCACTATTCACATTTTGGATTTGATAATGATGCGGTGAGGGGGCTGTCCTATTGCATTGGAGGATTGTGTGTTTTTTTTTTAATTTTTTAAAATGTTTTTTTTTATTTCTAGGAGAGAGAGAGAGAGAGAGACAGCGTGAGCAGGGGAGGGTCAGAGAGAGAGGGAGTCACAGACTGAAACAGGCTCCAGGCTCTGAGCTGGCAGTCAGCACAGAGCCCGACGCGGGGCTCAAACCCACAAACCGCGAGATCATGACCTAAGCGAAAGTCAGATGCTTAACCGACTAAGCCACCCAGGCGCCCCTGCATTGGAGGATTTTGAACCGCGCCCCTAACCAGAATGATCCGCCCCACCCCCCAGTTTTGGCAACCCCGAATCCTCAGATATGGCCAATGTGGATCCTCGGTGGAGAGAGATGCAATCAACTGATTGATGCCTGAATGGCAGGCAGCTTTCCTCAGCCCAACCAACCCCGTTAATGTTGCGACACCCCCCCCCCCCCAAGCAGCCCTCTGTGAAATAGCTGTGTTGGGTTTTCTTCATCGTTGCAGGTATTTGAAATCCTGCTTCTTATTTAATGTTTACTGGGTGTTGTAAGGGACCCACCCCCCCCGCGTTGGGCTCCAAACAGCCTGGCCCCAGCCTTTTCTTCACTACTCCACCCTCCGCCCTTCCCAGAGCTGGAAGTGAGGTGCCCAATGTTCATGGAGTGAATGCATTCAGTATCTCATTTAATTTTCACAGGATCCCTTTGGGATGAGCATTATCGTTCTTTCCATCTTTAAAGCTCTGGGGCATTAAGCAAATTTACTGTAGGATACAAATGGGAAACTGGGATTCAACCCAGACAGTCAGACTGGAGGACCCAAAGCTCTTCATCCCTCTAAGCAAACAGCTGGCGAGATGTTAGAATCATCTCTGCTCCTGGTTTCCCAGGGGAGCACGGGGAGAGCCCAGAGAAGGGAAGTTCCAAAATCGCTCAGCTGCCGAATAGGAGAGTAAGACTAGAACCCACCAGCCCCCAGACCTCCATCACCCAAATGAGACTTCCTGTTGATATAATACTATTAATAATAGCTAAATATTAAAGTGATCAACAGATTTCGGATCAGTCTTTGGTTTTTTTTTTAACTTTCTATTAAGGAAAATATCAAACTCCCATGAGTCTGTGGCCCACCTTCAGTAATTACCAGCTCATGGTTAATGTGCTTTCTACCCTCCTCATCTTCCCATTCCCCCATCCTGTTATTTTGAAGCAAATTCCAGATATCACGCCATTCATCTGCACATATGTTAGTTTGGGCTGGTAAAAAACAAAATAGGATCTTTCTTTCCTTTTTTCCTCTAAGCCTAACCACAATACTATTAGCACACCTAGAAAGTTAATGAATGATTCCTTAAAATCATGAAATATCCCATCAAGAGTTCAAGTTTCTCATTGTAGTTTAAAAAAAGATTTTTATAGTTTATTTCAATCCCCACCTTGCAACTGGGTAATATATGAGTTGCAAAGTCTGTGGGTTGCCCCTCTATCTCCTTTGATCCTTCTCATTCCTTTTTTTTTTTTTTTTTTTTTTAGGAACTGGGCCCTTTGTTATGTCCTTTCTCATAAGCTTTGTTATTTAACACCCCTACCCTCTCTATTTCCTAAAAAATGTGTGATTGGGCTTAATTCACTTGTTTTCTGTTTTGTTTGTTTTCTTGGCAAAATTTTGTTTGTGTTCTTCTGTCAGGAGGCACATAATGGGGGCGGGGAGGGAGAGGGATGTCCTTTCTATCTTTTTATGATATTAGCAGCCATTGATGATCAAAAGTCTAGATTCATTAACATATTATGGGTTACACAGTGGTGATAGCCTCACGCTGTCATTCCTTCTCCATTAATCAGGTGAGATATTTCAGCTACTATCTGGCACAGTTTATATCAGAAAGGATCAATGTTTAGGGCTCCTGGTGGCTCAGTCGGTTAAGCCTCTGACTTCGGCTCAGGTCATGATTTCCCGGTCCATGAGTTCGAGCCCCACATCGGGGTCTGTGCTGACAGCTCAGAGCCTGGCGCCTGCTTCGGATTCCGTGTCTCCCTCTCTCTCTGCCCCTCCCCTGTTCCCGCTCTGTCTCTCTCTCTCTCTCTCTCAAAAATAAATAAACATTCAGAAACACAAAAGAAAAGAAAGGATCAAGGTTTGATTCCTTGCCTTTGTTCACAGATTTTCAAAATAATATATTGGTTTCCTATCACCTTGCAACGGTGATTGATATTTTTGTGTATGATCAGGAATTTTGTCAATGTCATTACCAACTCGAAAATTTAAACACAGTCGATATATTTCACATCCTGGGTGCTCACATCGTCTCATCACTGGCCAGGAAGAGCCTCTTAAAGTTGGCCCTTGAGTCTTTTGGACCAGACCCTTGACTTGAGGTCACTGGAGCGCCAATACAGCAGGGCCTGGGGTGTTCAGGAGATGCCAGCCCTGGAATGCCCAAACATGGACTGATCAAAACAGAGGCGTACTTACCAGCCCCACTCTGGCTAAATATGACACCCGGCACACTCTGATTCATCACCAACAAATGCACTTCACCCACAGCCAATGGCTTGCTTCATCTTTCAACGGTTTATCATCCGATAAATGTCAAAATCAGAAGGCGTGGCTGCAGCACCTTGTACAAGGAGTTTAATAAGTGGTTGTTTCACGATCCCATTGTTTAAAGAAGCAGGAGAAGGCATTTCCAGACTGTCCATCTGTAGGAAGGTGAAGTTCAAGTGAAGTCCGAAATATTTTCTTCAAGTAAAGCTGAAAGTCCATGTGATGGGCAGAATTTTGGCCTTTTCATATTCTCTGTCATATCAACGCAGGTTTCCACTTTTTAAAAATCCCAAGGGAAGTTTGTCGCGTGTCAGACCAGACTATTTATTTACTTAAATCTCCTTCTCCCTCATAACAACGCGAAAGGAGGTATTATTATCTCCATTTTATTGAGGAAATTGAGGCTCTGAAATGCTGGCTTGCCCAAGGCCACGCTGGAAATGAAGCAAGAAGCTGAGATTCGAACCCAGATTGGGCCACGCTGCACCAGCTACTGCTTCCAGTAATTGAATACTGACTCTGCTTAAGAAGCAGAAATTACCTTCAGAGATGTTAGTGTTAGCGCTGCAGCCAGAGTGAGCTTTCAAAATGCTAATGCGATTCAGGCTTCCCCGGTCTCCTCCCTCTGCGTAAAGCCTTTCAGTGACCTCCAATTGCTCTAAGGCTGAAAGAAAATCTAGGAGCCCCAGAAGCCCTGTGAAAGTGGCCTCCTTCCTGCAGACCATGCTAGGTCTCCCCAACCCTGCCCCAGCTCCAATGTGCCCCAGGCACCACCTTAAGTCTCCACTACCCTGCCCCCGCCCCACTTCCTTCTCAGGGTTCTATAGTCTCTTCTGTCCTACCTCAGGGCCTTTGCACATGCACTGTTGCTTCCAAAAAGAGACTTCCTTCTCTTTCCCTTCTCATCTCTCAGATCCAGCTCAATGTCTGGGTTTTCAGAGACCCCCTCCCTGTCCCGCCTAACTAAGCCAGACCCCATAATAGGTACTCATGGTACCATGTACCTGTGCTTTAGAGCACTTGTTGCTGTGGCTATTTACAGTGCTTTGTGATTTTCAGTTAGGGTCCCTAGCCCCCCACTGCATGGTGGCCTTCACCCAGGAGGGGGCTCGGGCTGTGTTTGCTCATCATTACTCCTCCTGAGCATGGAGCCTGGCTCTTGGAAGGGACTCAGTAAATATTGGTTGAATGAATAAATCAACGCAGCAGTGGGAGGCAGAGAAGAAAGCTTCCTTCAATCCTACGCCGCCGCCGCCGTGGGTCCAGGGTTCTGTTTATTGTTGTGTCCACTGTTTTGGCTCCCGGAACGATTCCAGTTCTGTCGGAGCTACCACAGTTTTGTGAAAGAGCTTGCAAATTTCTGAAATCAAACCTCGGAGAGGAAGAATCTAAACCCAGACTTGCTTGGCGGCTACCTCCGGTCGTATCCCCAGGGGCGACTCAGGAAATGTCCTGGAGAGGCCCCAAGGAGCGGGGGACGGAGCTGCCCACCCCACGGTCAGCACCTGCAGGCGAGGCGCAGAGAGGCGGGTTCGAGCCCCGCGTCGGGCTCTGTGCTGACTGCCAGCTCAGAGCCTGGAGCCTGTTTCAGAGTCTGTGACTCCCTCTCTCTCTGACCCTCCCCTGCTCACGCTGTCTCTCTCTCTCTCCTAGAAATAAATAAAAAACATTAAAAAAAAAAAAAGGAGAACTCAAATTTAGATCGGACGATAATCTCTAAGTGAATTACCCACGGGGTCAAGGCATTACCCACGGGGTCAAGGCGACCTTCCGACAGAATAGAAAGAAGTCATTGCCAGAGGCACACGCATGTCCCACGTGCGTCCTCACCACCTGCGGCACATCCCGAGTTCCTCCTTTAAGTCCTGGATTCATTCGCCTTGCAAATAGCACCACTGTCTGGTTTCCTTGATTTGCTTGCGTATTAAAAGGCCTAATGTGT